TAGTTGTCTTTGACACACCACCACCGATTCTCTATTAGGTTTGTACATGCACCACTTTTCGGGCCCACAAAATTGGGTGGGGGTGCCATGTGGAACTCTTTCCGAAACTTAAACCCTTCTTTTATTTTTGAAGAATTATTGATTCTCCTTTAAAAAAAGTTCTGGCCTCCCAGAACTATTGACAACAACAGGTGTGAGGTTAAAAGTATCAAGCAAAAGGAAATTTGAGGGGACTTGTATATAAAAAATAATTTTAATCTAGCTTTACATGTTATGGGTTATTGCCAGAATATCTGTAGTGTGCTGAAAGTTCTTTAAGTTTCATTAACACACTGTATTAGCATTCATATTATCTCAATTTTTACAGATTTCACATCTTGAGATCTTTCTGTGGACTTTGGAAACTATTTAACCTTTTTTGGTGTAATGTGGAAATGTAGGTAGTTAATTTATCTTTAAAATAAAGAGTATTGCCTTATACCATCTCCATATACACTTATAAATTTATTTATTTCTTTTAGAGAAGAAATTTTGTGCAGTATGCAAAAGTGTTTCCATTTGCTAAAGCTTTGGGGTTCAAGGTGCCATCAAAATGGATGAGGATTGTAGTTGGTTGGATAGAAGTAGTTTGTGGAACGACTCTTGTTCTCATACCTGGTAAGTTTTAACAAGGCATTTACTCTGGATGTGAAACAATCTGTTTTCTACTTTGTTGCAGAATTTATGCATGTGTGCCATTATGTGAAAGTGTTCTCTACTGTGATAAAAACATAAGCACATGCTTATATAATTATGCTTTTTTTTTGTTGCTCTGGAGTTTATTTTGATAAGTGGCTCAAATCTACAGTAGTTAAGCTAAATGGAGAGTTGCATGCTTGGGGTTTGAGAGTAATGGTGGTATTTCTGTGTTTAAGCTAGTGTTTGCTTTTTCACCAAATCTGAAAGAATATCTCAAGTAACTACAGTATAATATATTAGTTCAGTAACAATGCTACCTCTTTGCAGAACAAAGAGCTATTATTTTGCAGATCTGCTGAGAAGATTTTTGTGCATGCACAAACCTTGAATGTAATTCCCACCCCTACATGTATTAACATGGACTGCACCAGCTTATGATGTAATCATCAGTAGACTATAGCTATCCACTAATAAGACACATCCATCATATGAGCACTGGCATTAAAACAAAGGTTTATTTATTTTCCTAGGCACTGCTTTGTTCAGATGTGTTTTTTCCTTAGAATTGATGAAATATTTGTGTTTGCTACTTATAGTGTTGTCTTTTTTTCTATTTATCTTTTTGATTATGAGAATGAAAGATAACAAATTTCAGTTAGAACTTTGATTTGCATTATCTTAAATTTGATTTTACATTTTAATCAAATTTGTACTTTTAGACATGTTTTCCTGTGTTTGTGATATGATTTTCCATTATTTTAACCCATTGTACAGTTTTTAAGTGCTCCTCAATTTTGTCATTATGCCAATGATGTAGACCTATGTACAGTGGGTCTCTATTATCTTATACGTTGCATCGCTCTGCGTCTTTTCATTATTAGAGCATTCACCAATTACTACCCATGTATCAACATTGGCAATGTATTAAAAACATTGTGTTCTAAACATATAGGCTTTAACAGCAAAACTGAAAACCTAATATACTTTATTATAAAGTGATGTAGCTATAGTGAAATTAACAAAGTGGATTATCAATTTTTTGCTCTCACTTTTCCATATTTCTTAAAGTTATGCGTCTTACAATTAAGATGAATGAGACAAAGTCTTATTTTGCCATTTTCTTGATTAAAATTAAGATTTTCAGTGGAAATATTTTATTAGCAAATATGTAGAAGTATACAATAAATGTTGCTTAATCACCAGTTGTAGTCCATTCGATTACTGTCACTGTGCGCAGGTTCTCATTCACTGCTTAAAATAAAAGTCTTAAAAATACAGAGATTTAACTTGTACATTTAATTGGTTATATATATAATTTTAAAATACAAAATAAATAATTCATATCAAATTTCATATTTCATTGGTTAAGAAGTAAAGCTTCTGTAGCAAATGTCAGTAGCTGATGTTAAGTATTGAATATTTGAATGTACAAGAACCAGGTGTGTTAGATGAATCTCTGAAAAACTAGCTAACGATGAGTGAAAGAATGGTAATTAATGCCAAATAAAACATGTTTCCATTTTTATTACTTTTAGCTAAAATTAATTCTGTTTTAGCAACAAAAAAAAAGCTAATACTTTTTACTCCCCAGCTTAAACACCTCTAATTAGGAAAATTGGCTTCAAGATGTCAGGACAAGCCTTGGGTTCTGCGTTTAATTTCTGCATGTTTCATATTGTTAAACAGTACTTTCTAAATTAAAGTTGTTTATATACAAATAAGTGTGCATGTAATAAAAAACATACAGTAGATAAAAACTTGGGGATTTTATCCCTTTCATTGTGGTTAGAATGTATATTTCCCACTGCACTGGGAAATGTATGTCCCAGCTGCAATGAATGGATTAAACAAGCAATTTGATAAGGTAAAAATACAGGGTGCTCACTCAGCATCAAGGTGAATATGGAACTTGAATCACTCTTAAATAGGTTTTCCAAAAAATATTTGCAAGAAAATAGACTAGAAAAATATTCCAAACAGTGGATGCTTGATGTTTTAACCTTTAATAGATTTGTCCAAAAATACATATGCAACAAAATATGGATGTAAAAGCTGTTGAAATTGTTAAATGAACTCCATATTTAACATAAGCATACTAATAGCAATTAATGGAACTTGCCAACCAATTAATCATCAGGCTCATTAATTATTTACATTCAACTAATTATTTATTCTCGCATGAGATGGCTAAAAAAACAACTTTATAACACTAAACCTTGAGTTTTGATACCTGTGGTGGGCAAAGCACAGACAGCCCATTGTGTTGGCCAAAAAACAAATATAATGACTATATTTTAATCAGTTGAATCAATTAAGCTGAATAAAATTGAATTATGGCAATATTTCGATCGCTAGGTAATAGGAGTCATCGAAAGGATAATAATTGGAAACAATAAATTTTGAATAGTTGATTTAATCAGAATTTCAATTACTAGATAGATGGAATGATGGAGACAATAATAACTGAAACACTCATTTTTATTAGTTGATTATTTTCATGACGTTAGTCAATTTAATAGTAAATTTGATTACTGGATAGTTCAAATAAGTGAAAACAGTAATAATTGAAAAGAATAGTTAATTATGTTTGTGACATTAATCAATTTATTCATAATTTGGATTAATCAGTTATTTTACCTAACACTAATTGATTTAATTAATGGTCATAAGTAACTGATTATATTGAGTTAATTGCCCAGCTCTCTTTAGAAGTAACCATGAATAATTCAATCTCTCTAGGAATGTCATGAAATACAGAGCTAACACAATTTTTTCTCTAGAAATATTAATTTAAACCAAGAGATAATTAAAACGTGGAGTTGGAGGTGATGAGGTTTATATTTAATAGCATAACTCGTACTGAAATTGAACTTACATTAAACTCAAAAGATTTTAAAGCCCTAAAACACCACAGATATGGCTGCTGATACATGGTCATAGTATCGTGACTTCTTTCATGCTAGTTTCATCTTCTAAAATAGCTTCAACATCAAGCAGGCATAAAGTGATCTTGTTTCACAAGTGTTCTGTTAAAGGTGATTGTGTTATTTAAACTTGAAATGTATATAAATATGATGCTAGCAGTATTTTTCAATAATTAAAGCAAGCTATAAATTTTTAAATTAATAACGTTAATAGGACTAGATATGATATAGTTTCATAGCAAGACCGTGATTCTCAAGGACAAAGCTGGGTGATTAACTTGATTAATGGAAATAATTGGTTACTTATGACCATTGATTACATTTATCAGTGTCACTTAAAATAATTGATTAATCAAAATAACAATTAAGTTAGTTAATGTCACAAAAATAATCAAGTAATCAAAATGAATGTTTCTGATTATTACTATTTTTGATTATTCCAAATATCCACATCTCGTGAGAATAATCCATAAGTTGAAAATAATCTGTGTATTAGCCCATTGGTTAGTTGACTATTGAGTTCTAGCTCAGCTGGATGTGATAACTGTTCTCTCCTGTGCTGAAATTTAGTTTTCACTAGTAAATTTTATTGCTTAACCAAATATGAAAGTTGCAAGTATGTTAACATAAAGTTAATATGAACAAGTTTTAACCGTTTTTAACTATTATAGAAAAAATTAAATGAACTGGTTTAAAAATGTTGTGTTGGTGTCATGATAATATGTACACGAGTAGTAAGAAAAGTCAAGGATTATTTCTGTTTCTTCTTTTGCAGGAAATGTAAAGCAGGTAGCCAACGTTATTTTGCTCGTACTAATGCTTGGTGCTTTTTACACTCACTCCATGCTGGCTGATAAGTTTGAAAAAACAGCTCCTTCTATAGTTTTTTCTCTGATGTTGGGCTGTAGACTTGTAGTTTTCTATCAAGTTCGTCGTAAAGAAAGACAAGTAATGGAACAAGAAGCTAAGGTGACAACTTACAGTGAACCTCCCACAGTGGGTCATTTAAATGCTAAAAGTCTGAAACAAGAATGAATTATGGAAGTTTTGGGAGCACTATGCATAGACCAACTTTAGTTTCCCTCAGTGTAACTTAACACTTTGAAATAGTAATTGAAATGTATGTGTTTTATGATGTGGAATAATTTCTGTTTCTCAGACAGTTTAAGATGTTTTATGTTAGGAGTTGAAAAAAAAATCTTTTCTTGTTTGTAGTAGCAGATTATATTACATGTAGCCTCTTTTGAAACTGTTTTTCAATTGATCCTACACCATAGTTGTATGTTTCCATCTCTCACTATTTTCACTTATACTCCTCACACACATAAAGTATGTAAATGTACAATAATTATGGTAGGTTTGGGAGGAAAAATTATCTGTTAAGCTACTAACGATAGCAGTTGACGATGAAAAGTGAATTGAAGGAAACTATCAGAATCTCATCACTCAGTAATTTATAGTGTATGTGCATTCTTAGTTTTACAATGCAAACTGTTGTTTGGAGAAAATGTTGTGATTACAGATGCATAGGTTGTCATATCTAATGCTAGACTGTTTATTCACTATCACATCATATATTAGAAATATACAAAAAAATTTGTGTCTAAGCAGTTTAATGGTAGTAACATTCCGGTTCATATTTTGTATATGTCAAATATTGCAGTTGATTTGTGTTGGCATGAGCTTAAATTATGTTGTATAAAGCACAAACCTGGGATAGGACAGGTTGGGATAAGGTGCTTGTGAAGAAGAGGGGTTTCATTTTTTATTTCATTTTAATGGTTAGAAACATCAACAAATGCATAATTTGAACAATGCTAAACAGAAGAAAAGATGCTTAAATATTTTTGAGCTTATCAAAATGTGCTAAAATGTTAAATATAGTGATTCTGTAGACAAATTTATGGGGAAAATTGCAAAAATTAAAAATAAAATTACTTAAATGGCTTTTGTAATTTTTGAAGTAAGATATAAGGAACATAAGGTAATTGTATAGAAATTTCACAAAAGAAAGTTTTATATCACAAGAAGTGATTAAATTTTGTGAAAGAACTGTACTGTTAATAAGTTCTTTTTATCTTCATTTTCATAATATCTCCAAATATAACAGACAGACATACTAGTGAAGCTTGAACTGCATAAGTAGAGTACCTTTCAACTGTGTCTCATTATAGGAAAACATGTTTAAAGACTTGCAAAGTTTTCAGTCTTAATTTTATGCCATTTAATTATACAATGCTTTGTTTACTTACAGAATATGATAGCTCATTGTTGACCATTACATGATAGTTAATTTTTGAAATTGAATAATCCTTCTTTTCAATTTTTTTTTTGAGAAGAAAATATAGAAATCCTTTTAACTACTTGGTTGATTTGACAATTTCCTTTGCTTAGGCTTAACTACAACGACCTTAAAAGTGTCACTTAAACAAGTTATTAGAGACATTCGCTACACATTTAATGGTCAATTTTCAACACATGGAGGAACCCATATGGGTCACCTTTTAGAGTTGTACATTTCTCTGTTACTGTAAGTGTGAAAGAGTAATCAGGTATCCCAGCAATTTCTAAAAAATAGCTGCAGAGAAGGTGTACTTATGAATTCTAAGCTCTTGACAAGACACTCTTTTATGAAAATTAAAAATGATAAACAGTTCTAGATGTTATGGTTAATGAACTGAATGACTAATTTATAAGGTTTATGTACTAAGTGCTTCTAGATGTTCTGGTCAACTACCTGAATGAATATTTAATAAAGTTTGTTCACTAAGCACTTCTAGGTGTTTAGGTTAACTTGAATGACCAGTTTATAAGGTTTGTGTACTAAGTACTTATAGATGTTCTAGTCAACTATCTGAATGAATAATTTATAAGGTTTGTTTACTAAAAACACATCTAGGTGTTCTGGTTAACATGAATGACCAGTTTATAAGGTTTGTGTACTAAGTACTTATTGTTGTTCTAGTCAACTACGTGTTTACTAAAACAACTTCTAGGTGTTCTAGTTAACATGAATGACCAGTTTACAAGGTTTTTTTACTACGCACTTCTAAGTGTTCTGGTTAACATGAATGACCAGTTTATAAGGTTTGTTTACTACACACTTCTAGGTGTTTTGGTTAACTTGAAAGACCACTTTGAAAGATTTTTGGGGTAAAAACTGTTTATTCATCCTGCATGATATGTTGAGACATGACAGATCCTTGATACTGGCTTCTTGCAGTGTGGACAGGACTAGTGAATGTTATTGGCCAAATGTCAAACAACTGATTGATGAGTCATTGCAGACAGTGGTGAGACACACCCAAGTATTTAACAGCATGTTTGATAAGAACTAAAAGTTTTATGGTTAAGTTTTTTCCTGTAGTATTGAAGTTAAAAATGTGAAACAGCTGGAGTGAATAGAAATTTTGCTGTGAAGCTTATGATGTGCTATATTCATACAAAGTTAAACCTAACTAGACAGTGTCACATAAATTTTTGTAGTTTTTCATTATTTTCGAATTGTATTCTTACAGAAAACCTTGAATATAAAAAGAAACTTCAGATTTCTGAACACACAAGAAAAATCTAACACATACAAATGCAGCTGTAAGCAAAGCATTCACTTTTTAAAATTAAATGTAGCTATTATTCTTTAGTTAAGAATTAAGAAAATAATTTTTTCTATCCAGTAGACTTCCAAAGTTTTCAGTTTCTCATTCTAGCACAACATGTGTTTCTAACTAAACACCTTATTATTATTATTATAACCCGATTTTATTGAGCATTTGACAACTGTTGAATGACTAACTTTTGTAATGATGCAAAGCAATGATTGAAAACCTGTGCTTTTTAAGATACATAAGCAGTAAACTTAATCCCACGCATCCATTATATAAGCAGCAAAATAACAATCACTGAAATTGTAAGATATGTTCGATACTTAATCTTTGGATACATCAGACTTTGAACAGTAAGTCAGAGTGAACATCAAAACAATAGTATTTAGCAGTTCTTGTTTTACTACTCCAGTTGCCTTTATATTTACTTGTAATTTTTTAATTGTATTGGGGGTGGGGGAGAATGTTAAAAAAAAAGTTGTATTTTTTCTTTTTATAAGCAAGACCAATTCTATGTACAATAATTGTGCAACTTAACATTGATGGATCAGGTTTTCATGGATGTCTTTTTTCCAATGCCACAAGACCTTTTAACTTCTCTAATTTGAGCCTTTTTTGTTTCACACTTTTCAGACTGTTATGTGATATTTATATACAATTTTTAAAAAAGTGCAGAAATTATTCCTAAAAGCATTTTTTGAAAGTTGAATGACTTTATTGAAGAGGTTGTGTAAAGTTTTTTTTTTGATCATGAGATTAAGCATATGGATCAATTTGATCTCAATATTAACTTTTTTTTTATCAAAATAAATCATATCATGAAATCTTATTAGTCTTATTCATGTATTTAACATAGATTTATTTGCTAAATACTCAGTATTATATAGATATACACATGTATTTATCTGCATATACATTTTAGTTGTATATGATTTTTTATTATACATTTTACATCTTATTTTGTATAGTTAATCATTGTAGAATATCTAAATTTTAAAATGACAATGATTTATATATTATTAGAACTTGAAACATGAACATTTTGAAATATTGATTTCAAGAATTGAGGTTTTTTTACTCCTCTCAGTTTGAAATAAATGCCTCTAAAGATTTTGATAAAGCTTGATCTGTTACTTTTATAATATATTCACTCTCTGAATACACATGTACAAAATATATCATATTATTGTCTTAAATCATCTCTAGGTTACTGAATCAGTAGAAAGGTTTAGATTATTAAAAACCATGTGACTTTGGCCGGTGTTCCTGATTAAAATTGTAGTGACAACCAAGATTGGTGCTAAAACAGATAAATAAATTTAAAGCTTGAGCATTTTAAAACAGTCTCTTAATCTGGAGCTAATGTAGAAAAGACCGCTCTTTGAAATAACTCGAAGTTTTGACCAGTTATTTTTTTGGTAATGAAACACAACTCTTCACATTTCATCTTTGAAGTTAGTTTGTTCTAAGACTAGTGTGTGGTGTCTTTACAGAGACATTGAGAAAACATTTGTACAACATATGTAGAATTTTACCACACTGACAAACAGTTATGTCTAACTTTATTATTATAACCCATGTATTGTGCACATGTTTTAAGATTATCAGTTTGCAGTGTGCTATTTGAAGATATTGTAATCGGTGATTGTGGAAATTTATCTGATTCCCAGGCTCATTTTCATTTGTCTTAAAGTTAGTTTTTGTTTGACAGATTAAAAGCTATTTTTTAGACTTATAAGTTGCTTAGTGAGAATTTCTTAAAATGGAATTTATAAGGCAATAATCATCATTATCTGTAGAAAATGTATTAATCTTAAAAACTAAACTTAATTGTCAAATCTAAAACCACACTCTTAGCTGTCATGATAAACTCATTGTATGTTGGAGATGATTTTCTAGAAATACTGTTTGTGATAGATTTCATGTGTATTCTATCTTTGCTGTTATCCAAAGAGTGAAGTATTGTTTTTTTTTTTTACTATTAGAAACGTGTTGTTGTTTCTTTAACCATAAATATAGTTGTCAGTGAATCAGTTCATTTTTTAAAATGCTGTTCCCTAACCACACTTTTTTCTTGTTTATGTTTAGATATATTGTTCCCCTTCATATTCGTTTAAGTTTTAGCTATTCAAAGAAAGATGTTTTAAGTTAAAAGTGTAGTTGTTTTATCAAAGAAAGAAAATATTTTTTTTTTTTCTCTAGATGTTCCACTATTATGGCCTACAATTCACTATTACGTATATATATATTAGATGGCAGTTAAAAAGAAAGTTTCTAATATTTGTTCTCTAGTAAAAAGCTCATCTATAGGAAGGGTGAACCATTTGAGAAGTAGTAGTTTTCTGATGGAATCCACAGATTTTTTTTTACTGTTTAGCCTAGAGTTAAGTAGCGTGCATACACATGGGAATTCGGACTGACCATCCATACCAATGAGAGGTTAAACAAACACTTAGAATTCAGCTTAGTAATATCAGTCAAAACTGTGATATTTTTAGATTACAAGTAATTAGCTACAAAGTTTGGTTTGTTATTTATGTTAACGAAATAAGGGTTAGAAGAGAATGAAAAAATAAAACGTTCAATGACACAATTAAAAAAATGGTGGCAAATCAGAAATAAATAAATACCTACTTATTTGACTCGTGAGATTCAGACTGATAATCGTAGGCACGTACGAAACTTTTTGTACATGAGGGGATGAAACCAGTCTGAAAACTCAGGTTTCAAATACGTAAATATGTCTATTTCTTTAAAAACATTTTTAAGTCCACTTTATATCTGTGTGATTTGATGAAACTATATTATTCTGTATCAGTATACCAGTACAAATCTAAGAGGTGTTTTTAATTACATTTATTAATTATTATTCAAACTGCCAGTGTTTCGTTGTTGATGGTATAAACAGATAGGATAATTCTCAATCTGTGTTTGTATTCCGTTATTTTGTTAATGTTAAGATGGCCTGGTGATTAGGGCATTTGAATCTCATCATCAAACGTACTCGCCTTATCAGCTGTTGGCGGTGAGTGGTGTTGACTAGCTCCCTTCTCTCTAATCTATCACTGCTAAATTATGGTTCCCCCCGTGGGACAACGGTAAGTCTACAGGCTTATAACCCTAAAATCCAGGGTTCGATTCTCTGCGGTGGACACAGCAAATAGGTCGTTCTGTCTTTGCTCTGAGACTAACAAGCTAAATTAGGAACGGTTCGCGCAGGTAACCCCCGAGTAGCTTTGCGCGAAATTCATAAAACAAACAAATTAAGATGCCACGTTTTAGTTTCGTAATTTGAAGTCAAGATGTTTTAGTCATGATTTAGTTTCGTACTTAATTGGTGTTGGCTGGAAAGTTGGCGTCCGTGTGTTCTTTAAATATAACTTGACTTCTACCGAACTATTGTATATTGGGAAGGCTGCAAGTCAACACCATCCACCGCTAACTTTTTGACTACTTTTTACCAATGAATAGTGGCATTGACCGTCACAGCTGAAAGGTCGAACATGTACGGTGACAAGATTGGAACCCGAGACCAGCAGATTGCCAGCCGAGTTCCCTAACCACCAGGTCTTTGTAAACTTAGTAATTCATATTAATATTAGTAATGAACCAATTAATACTTTGAAAAACTGTTTACTGAAGTGTCAGTATAAACATGAGTTATATAAGCTTTTAGACGCGCTTTAGCAAATATAGTTATATTGAGTAGTGTGTGTTGCATGTAATCAAAGTGTGTATATATATACATATATATATATATATACTGTGACAGTGGTAACTATGTATTTCATACTTTGTTCTCAATAAAGTTCGTTTTACGTAAAGAATCTCGGCAGCTGGCTATTTTAGAAACGATGAAAAGTTGGAAAGATGTCATGTTTGTAATGTCATTACGTACTTAAGATGTATAATGGATAACTAACTAACATACATAACCTCCTCCCAAACAAGGATGGAGCCACGTGCTAAAGTAAATAATGAAATACCGAAATATCTACTTCCTGTTGCTGTTTGCTTTCGTCCCCTGGTGGTAAAGTAGTAATTTATTGGAACTATATACAAACCATTTATATATATATATATATATATATATATATATATATGAGATATACTGTTAGT